CCCTCCCCCCCCCCCCCCCCGCCCCCCTTCGGCAGCACGATATGCTCAGGTGGCTCTATAAGCATGAGATTAGGGTTTCTGTGGACGTGTACAGCCCCCCGTTTCCCATGCAGGATAACATCAGTGCTCCCATTCAGGTCCCGCTGGCCCCAGCTGGGTCTGAGCCTCCTGGCGCAGCTCGGGCTGTGTCACTTTTCCTGTGCCCTCTCCAAAACACGCAGGCAGCGCGCACTGCCCTCCCTCCTACCCCTGGCTATCAGCTGGGTGGGTGGCCACGCAGCTGGGGCGGGTTTGGGGGTGTCCATGTGCTCATCCGTCGTGACGTTCATTTGTGGTTTTGGGCAAACGCACTTGTTTTGATGTCCAAGTTCATCCTGTAGCCTCTCCTCTTCTTCAGGAGTTTAACTGGGTCTTTCCCCTACTTGTTAGAAAGTCACATATTGGCGAGCTCTTCCCGTTGTCACATTTGGTTGCAATTGACTGGTAAAATTCAAAAGTTAGATCATAAAAAAAGAGAGTGTGGTCATTTTCTCCTGTTTCCTTGGAAAATCTTGCTAGGAAAAGATGCCTAGAAATAGTAAGTATGGCAGCCTTATCATGCCGATCATAACCTCATAGTTGTTGCCTACTGCTGCGTTCACCGCTTTCCCACTTCAAGCAACAGTGGTGAATTGGCCTGACCATGCAGCCACGTAGCAAGAACTTTGTATTTTGAACAATACAAGAAAACCTGTTCTCTAATCCTTTTATTATGTCAGATCCAGGTCGAACTTTGTCAAGTAACAGTAGGAAAGTCACTTACCTTCTCAGACTCCAGTTCTGTAGAAGAAAACCATGGTGGTGACCGGCTGGGTAAAAACCTTGAAGGTCTGCTGATGAAAAGTGCTAGGCGGTTATGAGGAACAGGAGATGGACCTTATTTCACACTTTGTTCTGGAAGCTGATGTTTTTACTTGTTTATCAGGGTTTTCAAACATTCAGAAGTCATGAGAACGTTCTCAAAAATGAGGCTTAAAGTCAGAAAAAATACTGTATTCTGTCTCTTCATCTTTGTGTTTTAAAGACTGTTGTTGCTTTATGTTTTCAGAATTTTGTCATCAAAAGTATATATAGTCTGATACATTATTTGTCTTTCTAAATATTTACCATTAATAAAATCAAGGGAAAATTGTGTGTAACCATCACTATTTTTAAAGCATTGATTGGAAACCTAGAGAAATGTTACTAAAAATGGTCTGTTTAAAGTTTGTCTCTAATTTCAAGAATTCCTTTTGCAAAGCATGAGTATATGGCTGAGATGCTTTTTAATTTTTGGTGGAAGTAGCTGGGCTTTCTTTCAACAGATACAGTGTTGTAGCCCATATTGCACCTTTTTACTAGAGCAGGAGTACCTGACAATTGAAGTAGGTTAGAAAGTAAAAGTGAGAAGTTGTCTCCAATGTGAAACCAAGTTCTCGGTCGCTGTTAGCCAGGCAAAGAGAAATCCACATTTTGAAAAACATGTTCCATATCAATAATGTTGATTAGACGAAACTCGCTTGATTATTTTTTAAAACCTGTGAAATTAGGCCTTTTTAGTCCGTACCAATTTGCATAACTTGAGAATTTCGCCCTTCAATATTTAATTTATGGACCTTTATGTTGTGGTGAGACAAATGACTTTTTAGTGACTACAGTAGACTTATTTGCATTATAAAATAAAACGATTGTCTATGCTGCCAGGGAGCTACTTACTTTATAAATATAGCATTTGTTCAGAAATACGTATTAAATACTAAAAATATTTAATTGACCTACTTTTTTATTTTCAGGGTTGTGTCCTTTGTTGTGACCTCATGGTTTAACTGGGAATAAAGATGAGTATAAGCAGTGATGAGGTTAACTTCCTGGTATATAGATACTTGCAAGAGTCAGGTGAGTTTTTTTCAATTCTGGTTGTTAAACAATGTATAATTTATTTGGTATTCATCTGCAACTGGCTATAGCAAACGCAGACTCATTTAATTATTTTGCCAGTAGGCACGTGCTTCTGTCTGAACTGTTTCTTGGTGTTTCTTCTCACAAGAGAATGAATTCCTGCCAAGTTACCTACTGTAACTTAATCAGATTTAGTCATTTGGAGTCTTCAGATGGCACTCAACCGACTAAGGATTGACTTGATTGCTGGAAATGTGTTTTGCTGGAGATCACTTATCTTGCAGGGTGATGACGACACTTTGTACCATTTTCTTTGGGGCTACTTGAGGAAGAAAAAAGGATGACCACCAAAATACCATTTTTTCCTGTTCTGTCCTGGAGTCATGATGCTCCTGTGAGCTGCTCTTGTGTGGCCGAATCCCTTGCCTGAATGTGACTATGGGAGTGCAGATGTCGTATTTCAAAGGAAGACGTAGCAACTGTGATGATATGACTTGTATTATTTGAATCTAAATACAGATGAACAGGTTTTTTACAGGAATAACTTCTGGGTTCTCAAAAGCCACCCTCTCCCTGCAAGGACACTTTCTTGGAGGATTTTGTCCTTGGGTATCAGGCTAGCCAAAGCCTCTTGCTTCTCGGGAGTAGGAGCAAAAGACAGTTGAATATTGTCAAACTTGAAAAGCAACTTTTTTCCTGTCTTATTTCTCCAAACTGACTGTGTCTGTAAAATACAAGCAAGAATGCAGTACTGCTCCCTTGGACAGTTTATTTTTAAAACTTCCCAAACCCAGTCGGACCAGCAGTTTGAATTTGTGTTGCATGTTTGGGTTTCTAGATGCAGCCATATGGCTCCAGGGGTTTTGTGGTGGTGGTTGTTCTTGAAGCTATGTAGGAGACAACAAGATCTTTTACTCACAGCTATGATATTAATTGCTTAAAGCTTGCCTACATTTAGAAGAGGTAGATTTGACTGGAAATTTGACTTGGGCATGCCCAGGTAAAGTGGTGATAGTCAGCTGGCAGGAGGGAATATCATCTTAGCAATACATAAAAGAAGTCTGCATATTAAAGGAAATATGAACTCCAATCTTAAGGTAACAGTGTAAGGGATCAACTTTAATGTATATGTTATCTTGCTGTTTCAATGTCTACTGATTCTTAGTTTTGTTTAGTGATTGCTGATGGGTGGCTTCAGGCTTCTGGAAAATGCATTTGACTGATGCAACGTCTGCCCGCTGCCTATGCCCACTGCTCGTGGACTTCTCAAATTGAGACGAAGCACCAGAAGCAGTGGTGGATGGCAGAGTTTTTCAGTCTCTGCTTGTCAGAAGAAAGCAGAAACTCATTGTTCCATCTGAATTTACTGAAAACTATTACACTTTCTTATTCCAGTTGCAGATTGCTTTTGTCACCGAAGCCAAACTTACAAAATTGCTTTTTCTTCATTTTGAATTTTGCAGGCAGCTTCTTAGTTACCTGACAGAAAACAAAGAAAAGGGTAGTTTAAGAAAAAAAAAAAAAAAAATCTGTGAATGTAAAATTAATTTGCTGAAACAAGTATTTTTCTCTAGGTCAAATTTGCCTTTTCATGGTGATCAGATAAATAGCAAGCAGGTACCAGTGCTGCACCATAACATGCTTGCCACTTCTTAATCAGTGCACAATGCCAGTATAGTTCTAAGTGCGAAAACATACAAAATTGTGACAGTACTGTACCGTGAAGTGAATTCTGTTCTACTTACAGATCCATTTCACTGTCATGGGTAACAAATCAGTGAGCAAAAATAACAAGTGAGTCTTGATGTCTTGGAGATGTACCATATATAGTATTTAATAAAACATATATATCGTTTGAGAATATATAAATGTGTGGATGTGCTGTTGCAAATTGTATATTTTGTATTTTTACATTTACACATGCACAAATGTTTTGCCGATGATACCGTAATTAATAATTACTGTGTTTGTTTATAAATTTTGTGTTTCTCTTGTTGACATTTAAACTAGAAACGTATGAGGGGGAAAAAAACAGAGGTGTTTTGACGAGTGCTTTTTGTAGCTCATAAGCATGCTGTAACTTCGTATAATTTGCTTAGGTGTGTAAACAAAAGATCCGTACAGTGGTATGGCAAATAGCATTGTCTATCTATAAATGGATTCTGATGGTTTTGCCTTGTCTTTAGGGTTTTCCCATTCAGCATTCACCTTTGGTATAGAGAGCCATATCAGCCAGTCTAATATAAATGGTGCTCTGGTGCCACCAGCTGCTTTGATTTCCATCATCCAGAAAGGTCTGCAGTATGTAGAGGCAGAAGTCAGTATTAATGAGGTAAGGAGGCTTTGCGTGCAGGAGCATTATGCTTGCAGTGAGTTTGAATGTTAGTATTTTTTCTTAACTTTCTTGTATCCTATTTATTTACTTTTACTTCAGATTCCTTACTGCTGGTGTTCACCATGACTCCAGTGGTGGAACCAGAATGGAGTGACATAACTGGGTAGGGGTTCTGCCCAGTGCAGCCACAGAACACCAGGCATGGTGTTCTGGCTCATTGCTTAAAGGTCCGTTGTCTGTGGAGTTTTTACCCTAATATAATGTTGTAGTAAATCCAGACAAGTGCAATAAGATAATAATTGAGACTAGTAACCTCTTAATTTTTATTTTCATAGACTTGCACTAGGGAGGTGGGAGAGCACTATGCAGCTCTCATTTGGGTGATGTCTTGTTATAATGAAGTAATGAGAGCCCAAAGGCAAGGTTTCCAAATAGAGAGAGAGTTTCAATTTGTGGCAGGAAGGACGAAGGTATATGCCAGTTTGCTTTTTCCTTCTGCTGGCTAATTCATCTTGAGCAGGATCTATTAAATTTGATGTTTAAATGGTTATTCCAGCAGTACAGAAAGCTATGTATCTTCCTGCCTGATGCTGCAGATACTCAACCTCAATTTCCATTCTCATTTATGCCTGGAAGGTTAGCAGCCTTTGTATGCATCAGTTATATTACAGAAGGAAACTTTTTTCCCCCACTAATTCTGCTCTCTTTCCAGTCTGTCTTATGTCTGCTGTTTATGTGTAGTTTTCATAGTCAGAGTGAAGCAAATGCTTTCCCTTAGGAAGCCTCAGAAAAGTAAAGCAAGTGATTGGAACTGGAGAAGGAGACCCTATATTTATTGCAAGGAATCCTTCTAGCTCCTAAAAATAGACCCTTACAAAGCCCTAGCATATGCATAAGGGTATTTTTAACTCCGTCTTGTCCATTTCAGGATAAAAATCTTCCTTGTTGTTTGAAAGCATGCCAGACTGTTTAAAAAAAAAAAAAAAAGGAAGAAAACTAGTCAACTCTCCAGATAGTATGTTTATGGAAAGTATTAGACTAATCAGATAGAATAACTTCACAAGCCAGTGACCTGACGTGCAATGTTTGCAGCTCTTCAAACAAACCATTAGATTTTGTTGCAGCCACTCATGTTTGAAATCATATTCATAGATAGCTTACAGTATTTTTTGCTTTAGCAGACTATTTAGCAAACGCAAAGCATAAAAGTTTTGATTCCAGAAGCTCTGCCAGAGGCCTGCAGTGGCTTTTTTAAAACGTATTTGTGGTGACCACTTAACTTTAGACTAAAATTCCAATCCTAATGACAACAATGATGAGATACCGCTTCCAGCACCATTTGTAAACTGTTTTATTATATTAAATCAAAACTTTTGCTTTAGTTTTCCTTGGAATTTCTGCCCATAATGTTAATTTGTACTTGGTGTTGTTTTGTTTCTTGTTTTTTTTTTTTGTTTGTTTGTTTTCTCCCTCTGCTATAATTCAGGATGGTACCTTGTTTGATGGTAGGCCGATAGAGTCTCTCTCACTGATAGATGCAGTAATGCCTGATGTGGTACAGACAAGACAACAGGCCTACAGAGATAAACTTGCACAACAGCAGGCGGCAGCTGCCGCAGCTGCAGCCGCGACTAACCAACAGGGATCAGCAAAAAATGGAGAAAATACTGCAAATGGAGAAGAAAACGGAGCACATACTATAGCAAGTAAGTTGAGACAGAAATTACCTTAACCTGCATTAATGTCATTTCCTTATCGTTTATCACAGTACAAGCTTGTAGGACGAGGTAGTGGGCAATGAGGTAAATGTGTAGAGGTACTAGTAACCCTTCAGCTTGCAGAGAATACCTTCCTCATAGGTGCTAATTTAACAGATGGTGTCTCATCTTTGACTGTCCCCAGTTTGATATTTGGAATTGCAGGAGAAGATGCAAACTGCTGAATTCATTGATTCACAGTATTACGTTGACCGGTCTCACTTCCAGTATGGCTCCTTTTCCGTCTTCTGAAGGTTTTTCACAGGATCCTCAGAGACATAAAGAGGAAAAAAAAAAAAATAATCGGAGACAACTCTTTAAATATTGCATCTACTCATCTACAAGGTACAAGCAGAGGAGTTTGCTAAGCTGCAGCTGGTTAAAACTGAGCATTCCTTGTGAAGCTCCGCAAACATCTTTTGACAGGTCCTGCTAACCCCATGAATCAGAGACCTGTAACTGGCTCTCTGTAGGACAGACTTCCTTGCCGTGCTGAGAACATCATGGTTGCTATGACAAATCCTGTGTCATTTGTCTCCTTTATCAGTATCAGTTTTAATGATTTGCTGTTCTGAATTACTCAATGCACCTGCTTGCAGGTTTGGTTTATGCGTTGGTTACATTTTAGTTGTGATTGGTGAAACAAGTGAGTTTTATTTGTCATCACTGGTCAAAGGAACATACCTTACAATCCGGCTTAGTATAGAGAAGTTCGGGTGAGGCATTAAAATGTGATTTTGAAAATACTGTTCTGGAAGTCTGAATTACACACTTAAAAGGGCGAGTTACACTCTTACTGTAAAAGCACCTGAAGAAAAGACGTTTTTGAGAGAATATTCACATGAAGCCATGCACAAGTTTTACATTGTAGAGCTGGATTTTACTAGATTTTTTTCACTATTATTTATGATAAATAAACTGGAAATATAATTTTTGCTTAAACAAATGAGCTGTCTACTTCAATGCTTTCATTTAAAAATCTCAAAAGAATATTTACTTGTTAACTGTGAACTTCATAGAGTAAGTGCAAACTTCAGATCTCAGCCGCTGTTAAATGTGATATACCAGCAGCCCCTACTGGCTGGTACACCAAATTATACTGGCATTGATTCTCTTTCATTAAAACAACGTTTTATATGGTTCTCTTTCTTAAAAATATGCATGTTCTATTAGACTTTCCTGTTTTCTCACACATACAAACAGTGACGGAAACCCTTAATGTTAAATTAAGCAATAGATGTGAAAGGGTTTGTTTAACCGCAGTGAATAAATATGGAGCAGGTGAACTGTTCAGCATTTTCTATAGTCTGCATTTACACTCAGTGTGAATTTCCTTTTAATAATAGAAAATGATTGATAGTAGCTGCCAAGAAAACTGTTTTGTCAGTTGAATTATCCCCAGTATGTTTTACAGAACAATATGGATTTGACATCACTTCCACGCAGAAAACTATGTATTGCCGCAATTCCATGGTAATTGCCATTGCAGTTTAAAAAGCTCTGTTATCAGTTTACCGTATCACCAAATGTTATTATATTTATTATTAAAGCCATTTTGTAAATGAAGTGTCTGAGATGTAGATTTAAGACCTGTTTGACTGCAATTGGTGAAAAGAGATTTTTGAAAATGGATGTGTCAAATGTATTTTTAAAGCACAAGATAGACTAGTAACACATTGTACTATGCAGTATCGTGCCTGAAAAACTGTGAGTACTTTTAACATCAGCGTTTGTTTTTTAACGTAGCAAAAAAATAACTTTTGGCCTCAATTTTGATGTTTCAAAATTAAATCCATTTGAATGTTGAATATTAGAAGGGCTAAGAGCTTTCTCACAGTTTTTGAAACTTCCCATCTGTTTATAGTACTTCATAAATTGGAACTGGAAAAATAAAGGAACGTTACAGCTTTGTCAAATTTTGATCATGTACGTTGTGAATTAAGTGTTATGCTCATCCCAGAAGAATATGAACCGTACCGTAGTTACAAGGTATTGTCCCAAAATATTAAAATCCACCTCTCTCTACTGTTGTTTCCCATAATGCAGATAATCACACAGATATGATGGAAGTAGATGGAGATGTTGAAATCCCTCCCAACAAGGCAGTGGTGCTGCGTGGCCATGAATCTGAAGTATTCATCTGTGCCTGGAATCCCGTTAGTGACCTTTTGGCCTCAGGGTATGTGCATTAGCCAAGTATGTGTGTAATGTCGGTGCTCGCCAGCATATTCCTGTATGTTGTAACAAGTTAAAATAATACCTGCCCCAACACCCTATACATCAAATGCTAGGACGTTTGCTGTTTTGAAAGGAATAGTTTTAAAAAGTGAATTACTTGGGAGAAGGAGTTATATTCTTATTAACTGTTTTGTAGATCTGGAGATTCGACAGCACGGATATGGAACCTCAGTGAAAACAGCACGAGCGGCTCTACGCAGCTGGTACTTCGACACTGTATACGAGAAGGAGGGCAGGATGTACCCAGCAACAAAGATGTGACATCGCTGGATTGGAACGTAAGTAGAAATGGCAGTGCTCAACTCCGAGAAAACTGTACTGATAATTTTGCATAGTCAAATTTTAAGTGACTGCAACTGTGCATCCTCTGCTACGGCTCCTGAATTATTTCTGGTTTTGAGTTGCATTGTAATTTCTTGTATTGTACGTTGAGAACTTCACTTCTTTTTAATAAGTTGTAGTCAATGGAATATATCTGCATGAGTTTTGTATTTATTCTACCTGGAATTTGCTTTGTGCTCTAGCTTTGAGTTACACAGTAAAAATAAATAAATAAAATAACCTTTTTTCTGGCAGAGTGAAGGTACACTTCTAGCAACTGGGTCTTATGATGGCTTTGCAAGGATATGGACGAAAGATGGTAAGTGAAATACTTCTAATTTCCAGTATATTTTCCTGTATTGTGGCTCACAGCATAGTTTTTTTTATTTTTTTTTAATGTATTCATATCAATATAAATTTTCAGGTAATCTTGCCAGCACCTTAGGGCAACATAAAGGTCCTATATTTGCGTTAAAATGGAACAAGAAAGGAAACTTCATTTTAAGTGCAGGAGTGGACAAGGTGAGATAATCTTTGGTAAAATTAAAATTCTTTCCTTCACCGTTATAATCTAATTGTAAGCATAATAGCAAAGCTACAGAAAGTAAGTAAATTAAACTAAAGGCATGGGACGTAAATATGTACTTACAAAGAACTTGTTATGCTAGCTATGTTTCCTTGTGTTTTATAGTAGTTTATTGAGATATTTTAATTTATTAGATTTCAGTGTCCCTGGATCCCCTCCCAATTAGGTTAGGGTAAATTGGAAAGTAAGTGGATTGAACGCAGGAACATTAAACCTCTGTAAAACCAAATCATCTAAAATTTAGTGAAGCACTTTATGCAAAGCCCCAGGAAAAAAAAAAATCGTAGTGGAGGAATAGGTTCAGGCCAATTTGGATATCAGTCAAGCCTGAGAACGATTAAAATAGTTAGAGCTGGAACATAAGAAGATTCAATGTATCTGACTGGGGAGGTGCCAGTACTGTAACGCCATGAAGCTCGTTGTTTAACTGTATTTTATTTCATGTCTCTAAACAAACTTAAAGCCTCACAAGGTCTTTAAATTCAAAGCTGCTGTTAGTGTGAGAGATTTTATGAATGGTAGGAAGGGCACATAGTGATGAAGGATAGCCTTCAGATGAATTCAAAGAGTAGAATAGACTATTCAAAGAAAAGAGTTTCATTTTTCTTCTGTAACTGATTCAAGGTGCAGACATACACACAGGCTTTCTCTTAGTGAGACTGGCAAACTGCAAGCTCAGTAAGACCACAGATCCACAATACTTAAAACTGGCAGTGTCACTGTAAAGTAGTAGATTTTCTCCGTTTGTTTTTTTTCTGTCTTGCACACATTTAACCTGGTTTGCTTTAGTGCCCGGCTTTATAAATGCTTGTGCTGGCACAAAGGAAGGAAAAGTAAATGTCTTAAAGCACGGAAAGGACAGCTTTCTTCTTTTGGCAGCTGTGATGGCTTATATGCTAGTTTTTAAATCTTTGTAGAGGTACAGCTTTAATTTGCAGAAAAATATTCTGGAGGAAATAGAAGCCGTGTTTTAGTCAATAAAACTCCTTGGACAAAGCAACTGAGGTTATGCTTTGAAAATGTTCTGCGTTAGCAGAAAGATTGACCCAACCATATGCGTCTTTTCCATAAATAATTTGTGCAGTCAGTTCATGCTTCCACTGAATTCAGTGGCAAAATCTTCATTGATCGTTGAGGTAGGTCAGGAATATCGGCATATAACATAGTGATTATAAAATACTAATTTTGTCGTGTAAGATTTCTTTCATCAGAAGGGATATTGGAAGTATTGGCAGAGAACAACTCCAAACAAAATTACGCACTTAAATCAGATCTTCCAGATCCTTAAGTATGAGGCTAATTGTTTATATAAAGATCTCCTTAGGGACGAATGAGTATTTGAAATTACAATTTGAATATAGAAGTATTTGAAATTAAAATAGGTATGCAGGGTGGATTACAAGAATATAAATAGGACTAAGGAGATGAATCTGTTTAATTTTTTTTATTAAAAAAAAGCCCACAACCCTCTTCTTCCCTCCAGACCCCAAAATGTTGTGATTAAACACCTTTCTAAAATTGCAACATATTAAGGTTTTCTACTGTTGCCTGTACATCTACTACCATTTTCTACCCTACTACCAAGGGCAAAACACTAGAAATACATAATTGGGAGCAGGTTTGGACAACAGGGAGTAGGCTAGGTAGTCTGATACATGTGAATGGTGGTAGTTGTGTGGAAATTCACAATTTGTACAAATTTGTTTATTGTTCATTTATCTGTTTAATACAGACCACAATTATTTGGGATGCCCACACTGGCGAAGCCAAGCAGCAGTTTCCTTTTCATTCTGGTAAGTCTTCGTGTTGATAATTTGGGATTGTCATCTGAAAAGACGAAATAAAGTGTTATTTATTAAAATAAATAAAAATTTCTGAAGTTTATGGTGCTTATTTACACCATTTTAAGGTCTTACAGGCAGTCTTTGGATACTGACTCCCATATTCATAGTCTTACGAATTTTGAGAATGTAAACAAAGATAGAATTGTTCCAATTTTATAACTTTATAGCTCACAATTTTATTACAGTTCTGTGAAAGTCATAAGAGATAACCCAAATGTTACCAACTTTCTGTAGTACAGTGGCAGACAAATCAAGTGGGTGGGCCTGAAGGATTTGTGTTTATCAGCTAAGGACTGCATTTGTCATCTTCCTGCTACAGTAATCCCAGCTCCGCATCCCATTGTTCTGCGCTGCCTGCTGTGCTGTCCCCAGTTTGTTTGGCCACAGACCAGCTGAAAGGCTGTTCACTGGCCAGCTGGGATGAGAGTGCAGCCTCTCAGGAGGTCAGACAAATTGCTTTGTGGGCTGCATGCTGTGCAAGCCTGCCAGAATCAGCTGGAAAATAGAATAGAGAGGACGACGAACATGTCATTGAAGGGCCTTTAAGAAATGTGTCTCATTTCCACATTTTATTCTGCTCGCACTATGTTTTCAGTGGCATGACAACAGTCAAAAACATCAATTCTTCATTTACTTCAAGCAATTCTGTGTGCTATCTGCCATAAATATCTTGGCTTGATCAAATGGAATATGTTGCCCATGATTAAGCTTCAAGTTACTACACCTTATAATGCTGGAATTAAGAAAGGAAATAAATCATCACCTGTCACTGGCTGCCATCTATCAGCACAAGCATGGACTGTTAGTGGAGATGAGCTCATGCATGACCATGTCTTAAGTTGTGGGAACCTGTTTCTCGTGCTGACTCTTGAGATTTATTTATAGATGACAACTACAGCTTGTTGTCCTGCTGCACTGTCTTCTCTATAACTATTTCATTTCAGATATGTTCCATGTTTTAATGACTTCTATTAAATTTTGTTTAATTTCTTTGTGTAAGACCAGTTTTGGCTGCATTTCTCACTGTTCATAGTGTTTGATTATCTTTAGAAATGCTGTAAAATTAATGGTTGCTTCCTGCTGGCATTTGTTCTAAGGTGATGCATGCTAAATTTGCAAATCAAACTCCCACAGAATACAGACCAGAGTTTTAAACACATTTCTTTTTCTTTTAGCACCAGCATTAGATGTTGATTGGCAGAGTAACAACACATTTGCCTCTTGCAGTACAGACATGTGTATTCATGTCTGTAAACTAGGACAAGATAGGCCCATCAAAACCTTCCAGGGTCACACAGTAAGTACTGGAAAATTGGGGGTTGCTATATGATATTTTTGTTAATCAGAGCTTGGGGGCCCAGTATACTTGCCAGTAGACAGCACTTGTGTAATGGTTGCTCTTTGGCAACAGGCGGTAAATATGCAAACACAGGTAGCTGTAGTAAAGATCACCTGGTAACTGTAGTTTCTTTCATTATTAGAACAATTCTCAGTCCCATGTTGCAGCTTTTTTTACCAGTGCCAGGGAGGCACAGCAAAAGTGAGCTTTAGACGAAGGAACATGGAACTTTAAGACTTTGCTATGCACAGACAGCCTATGTTGTGTATGTGCATGCATAGGAAAATGTGATGAACAGGTAGCAAACAGTTGTTATTGAAGGTAAAGCTAGGAATGAAAATTGTGTTAAAATACTGACAGTTATACAAATAGTCATAACTGCTGCCCAACGTTACCTTTCGTAAGCTTGTCATTTGTAATGGGAGTGAAAACTCCAACTTACTCTTGCTGTTCAATTTTAGAATGAAGTAAACGCAATCAAATGGGATCCAACTGGTAACCTTCTGGCATCCTGCTCTGATGATATGACTCTGAAGGTAATGGGAGTTCTGGTCCTGGCTCTTGTCTCTGTAGGACTCTAGAATGCACACTATGTGCATGGGCAGTCCGGCAGTATCACCGTATTTGCCATGTCGTCTAGTATTTGTTCTTTCGTAATATAACAAGATTAGGCAATCCTAACAAATCCTTGTTAATCAGAGCCAAGCTTTGGTCCAGAGAACTTGATACAGGCTGCCACCCTGAGACTTGGAGTATGATTTATTAGGTGCTTTTAGCTGTTTACAGAATCAGGTCATTAATCATGAAGCTGTCACACTTGATGGTTGCTTTTGGTTAATAGGAAGAGTTGGAATGCATGTTGTGTAACACATACAAGAATGGGTGACTAGCTCTTTTCCTGGTTTTCTTCTGTTTCCCCCTTCTTTCTAGTTAAAACCTTTGGCATGTTGTTTCTTAAAAGACTTTGTGTACTCCTTGTTTTTTCCAGTTCATCAGGACTCATTCTACAGTTTTCAATTGCACCTACACTTTTCTTCCAAATAAGTCATAGCAACATGCTTTCGTGTAGAACTGGGGCAAACTTGTGAACGCGGGGGATACCGTAACTTGTACATATGACTTCAAGGCTCACGAGAGATCCATACAAAAATACCAATAACCAATAATAGGTTAGATGCACTAGAAGAAATGAGATTGTTCATGCCTGAGGGGCCTGTGCTGTTTCCATGTTACAGATGCATTTCCATTCCTCCCATATTGCTTTATATTTAGTGTTTATCACTACATTTAGTAGAGTTTCAAGATATGGTTTTTTACATCAACAGCACAGTCCTACTGGTACCCTTTGGGACAGTTATTTCCATTTAGCTCATCACTGTTTAATCAGAGGCAGGGAATGGCTGAATGAGTAGCCAGATATCCCCTCCTGTGCTGGCACACGGTCAGGCACTTGCGAATGGAAATCACCTTATCTAAATATAAACACTTACACATTAAGCCTCCAGTCTAAAGCTAGATGTGCTAGATGCTCTGTTGGGTGAAGATGTCTAGACCACTACAGAGCAATTCATTGTGGCCAGCAGCTTGAGGGAGGTGATTCCACCCCTCTAGTCTGTTCTGGTGAGACCCCACCTGCAGTGCTGCATCCAGCTCTGGAGCTCTCAGCACAGGAAAGACATGGACCTGTTGGAGAGGGTCCAAAGGAGGCGTCCAAAAATGATCAGAGGGATAGAACACCTCTACTATGAGATCAGGCTGAGAGAGTTGGTGTTGTTCAGCCTGGAGCAGAGAAGGCTCTGGGGAGACCTTATTGCAGCCTTCCAGTACTTAAAGGGGGCTTATAAGAAAGATGGGGACAGACTTTTTAGCAGGGCCTGTAGCGATAAGGACAAGGGGTAACAGTTTTAAACTAAAAGGGGGTAGATTCAGACTAGATATAAGGAAGAAATTTTTTACAATGAGGGTGGTGAAACCCTGGCACAGGTTTCCCAGAGAGGTGGTAGATGCCCCATAGATCCCTGGAAGCATTCAAGGTGAGGTTGGACGGGGCTCTGAGCGACCTGATCTAGTTGAAGATGTCCCTGCTCATTTCGGGGGGGGTTGGACTAGATGACCTTTAAAAGTCTCTTCCAACCCAAACGATTCAATGTGTCTAAATCAAGTGTGATGAGTAAACCCCTGAGAGCATCAGTCGTTCTTCATTGGCAACGGATGGAGTCAAAACAGTCAGCTTAAGCTAGATATTTAATACTTAAACAGCTGAAACTCAGGTTAGATGAATTCCAGTCTAGAGCTCAAGCTGTTGCTGCTGCATGTCAGTGAGTAGAGGTGACAACTGGGAACATGTCACCATTTGTGGGCTCAGGCAATTAACTTCTTGGTTGCTGTTTTGAATTCAGCCCATCCTGGAAAGAATTCTATCATTTTGTTCAGGATTAACTGGAAGACCAGTTGTTTGTAGAGAAGTCTACGCATCGCTAATCACTTGTGGATCACTTACTTTCCAATGTGTGGGGTTTTTTTTTTTTTTTTGGTCTGTCTTCTACCAACTTGATGTCCTCTAGAGCAGCTAATACGGACTCTTGTCATCTATGTAGTTTTGGGAAGAGAAGGCAGATTTTGATCCCATCAATTTAAACTGGAAATACAATTTTAATTCTGTCTGCACATTGAAAATCAATTTCCCCTCAGTGAGGCACCAGTTTTGAAAAATGTCATTGATTTAAACATACTCCCCAATTGCATCTTAAATACAGTTGAGCTTAAATAGAGAAAAAGCTCCTGTTATTTTTTGAACAAGAGGTGAGCTAAAAGCTGTCATGGTTTAACCCCAGCCGGCAGCTAAGCACTGCACAGCCACTCGCTCACTCCCTACGGTGGGATGGGGGAGAGAATCAGAAGGATAGAAGTGAGAAAACTCATGGTTTGAGATAAAGACAGTTTAACAGGTAAAGCAAAAGCCACACATGCAAGCAAAGCAAAACGGGGGATTCATTCACCACTCCCCAGGGGCAGGCAGGGGTTCAGCCATCTCCAGGGAAGCAGGCATCCATCACATGTAACGGTTACTTGGGAAGACAGACGCCATAACCCCGAATGTTCCCTCCACCCCTTTCTTCTTCATCATCCCAGCTTCATATACCAAGCGTGACCTCATGTGGTGTGGAGTATCCCTTTGGCCAGCCTGGGTCAGCTGTCCTGGCTGTGTCCTTTCCCCACTTCCCATGCACCCCCAACCTCCTCGCTGTCCGGCCAGCATGAGAAGCCAGACAGTCTTTGACTGCTCAGCAACAACCCAAAACATCAGCACATTATCAACATTTTTGCATTCAAAATCCAGAACATACCCCACACTAGCATCTATGAAGAACATTAACTCTATCCCAGCTGAAACCAGGACTGCTAAACCAGGTATCATTAAAAAAAAGCTTTGAGGTGATTAACTATTATATCAGGTTTCACATTTAGGAAAAGGTATAAAAGCCTTCCAAAGCGCTTCCTGTATGCATTGCAAAGTCTTAATAGAATAAAGTTATTTTGTTTGTCGAAGGTTATCATGTAGGAGTTGGAGACCTAAGGAGCTCCTCTTTTGTATGAAGTACTGAACAAACACCTGGCAACGCAAATCCTAATAAGCCAGGAAAATGCCATAATGTTTTTTGCAGTGTGCATCTATGGCTTTGTATGAAACTGGAAGTTGCCTCCACTATCCCTTTATTTCACTCAATATGTGTAGCAAGAAGTTAATTTAAAAATAGGACTGTGATATTTTGTCAGCTCAGATGTGAATGTATACATATTGCTCTTCTCATTTTAGCATCTGTTATCATCCCTGCACTTTTCAATGGGCTTGTAGTTAGCACATGCAGATTGGTTTCTATAGACAGAACCTTTATTACTCACTAACCCCACCAGGTACTTAAAACTCAAAGAAGGGAGAGTACTGGAATAATACTTGTCATCATTTCTCTAGAAACTCAGTGGTCATAGCAAATGTTTTGAATGGCCTAAAAGGTAGCAGTCGGGCTGCAAATGATAAAGAAGATGTAAAATGTATTTTAGTGCAATATTGTTGTACGATATTGCTAAATGTCTTTGTGTTTTCTTCCGTTTTTATCATAGATCTGGAGTATGAAACAAGACAGTTGTGTCCATGATTTACAAGCACACAACAAAGAAATTTATACTATCAAATGGAGTCCTACAGGACCAGGAACAAATAATCCAAATGCCAATCTTATGTTAGCAAGGTACTATTTAATCCTGTTTTTAAATGCCTGTTCAGCATTACTTTTACTTCACTCTTTATATATGTAGGTTCACAGAATGTTTTGAAGCATGTAGGATACTTTATCATCTTGTGTTTATACGAGAAACAAAAATATGTCAAATTGAGATGTAATTAATCTGTGTTTTTTCCCTTGACAGTGCATCCTTTGATTCTACTGTTAGGTTATGGGATGTAGACAGAGGAATTTGTATTCATACTCTGACAAAACATCAAGAACCTGTGTACAGTGTAGCTTTCAGTCCTGATGGCAGGTACCTGGCCAGTGGCTCCTTCGATAAATGTGTACACATCTGGAATACACAGGTACAGCTCTTCTGTCTTTGTAGAAGTTTGTGTTCTGGTCTTTTCCATCAGCACCCTTCCAACCTTTGTTGCTCCATCATGTTTTGGCTAACATGCTGATTCGCTTTCTTTTTGTTCTAAGGTTGCTTCTGTTAATGGATGTACATTCAATTTCTGGTTTTGAGTGCTTGCTGATGATGAAGTAGTAATTGTCTTTACATTGGCTTTTCTTAGCATAAAAACCCACAACAAAACAAACAAGCAAACAATGCACCACCGAAAAAAAAAACCCAACCAAAAAAACACCAACAAAAGTGTACAACAAAGTGTCTCCAATAACACATTGCAAACAAAAATTGTCTGTGTTAACTCTGAACTTCAAACTCCTGATAAAACAGGTTTGCTGTGAAAAATGATGACTGGATGTAGACATACAATCTGCTAGCTATTTCACTGAAAAACAAGAGAATGTAAAGTGAGAGAAGATCACGACAAAATATTTGCACAGAACTTTCTAAGAAAGGACACAATTACTTGTTTTGTAATTCTGGCAAAAAAAGGGTTGATTGCAAATGAAAGTCTAAAGACCTTGTTAGGCAAGATGTGATCTCTGGCTACTGGGCATTGGATATTAATTTTTGAAAGTCTCAATTTACCAATTGGAAGTAGTCCTGACCTTCCCCAGTTTTGCCATTCAAAAACAAGAGATCAAGATGCAATAATTGTGTTTGTCAAGTCCTTTAACACAGTGCTGAGATTGTCCACAAGTCTCACCTGGACCATTTCCTCTGAGAATTTCAGCTTTTAAAAGCAGCGGGGAAGTTTTACATGTTGTACAAATTTTACTTGCTTGGCTTTTGTTGTATTAATTACCTGTTTTGTCCCTTTTTAGACAGGTGCCCTAGTTCACAGTTATCGGGGAACGGGAGGGATTTTTGAGGTTTGCTGGAATGCAGCAGGAGACAAAGTTGGAGCAAGTGCTTCAGATGGTTCAGTAAGTGCAGCTTGACTTGTTTGACGTTCTAATAGCAAGCATCTTTTGGGAACCTTGTGACTAATAATGGAGCCAAAATTTCCTTCTGTAGCTGAAGTTTAATACAGCCAGCTCACATGTAGATTTTCACACATAAGGGTGCTGTAATGTTGAAAGGAGAATATGTCCTTATTCCAGCTTAATGCATTACTGTTCTAAACCCTCCAAAAATCTCAGAAGGTGAACATGCCTCTCATTCAAATTTTCTATCCCTACTGGGGCTTACTGTGGAAATGTGTTCATTGTGCCTGGTCTTTTCATTATAGTCTGGAAATAAGCTCATTTTTGCCTCTTGGCCCTTTTCGAGTGAAACTGTTCAGTGTAGCTGATTCTATTGTGATGCGTGATAGGGATGAAGTATCTTCTGCATTGCATTCAACAGAAAGAGCAGCAAAACAAAGTACAAATTTCTCAATGCCTATAATTAAAAAGTTCCTAAAAATGACAGGAGCTACATGTAAATACCAATCTGCTTCCATGGCTTAGAAGAATCAGAGAATAAAATCTTATGTCTAACTAGTCACGAATGCACCCTCTATCACCTCGTAGTGATGTGCTGTAGCATCACCTCCTCAGTCTTCTGACATTGTCTTGCAAAGTACATACATAAAATATTAGCATGCAGTTCTTCACAGTAAGTACAATAGTTGTTATTTGCTTGCCTCTCTTTTTGCCATGGTTTTAAAAGAAAGGAGAAGAGAGCCTAAGGAAAAGCAAAATTAGAGTAAAATAAGAGCAATAAAGGAATTGTATTTTGAAGTACTATAGCTCAAAGTAACAAACGTCAGCAAAAAGCAATCCTGGTAGCCTTGTGGTCCGGAGTCTCAGGTAGTATCTTAACACACGTGCCAAAGCTTTTTCCTGTCCTGCATGCTCCATGCTCGTAAGTGAGGTTGCTTTGTTAGAGTTCAGAATGGAAAATAGGAAGCTCTGAATTTTTAGTAGACTAAATTCTAGAAAATTAATTTTGATTGGTCTTTCATATTATTTTAGTCTTCTAAGTATAGACAATATCATAAAAGGAATAAAAGCTCAAGGCATATCCTGAGTAGAAATTAATTATCATTCCACCCTAGATGACCCTTTTATATACATGCTGTGTAACCTTTCCAGTCTTCCAGTTAATTTGACCCAAGAGGCTGATTGTACTTGCAACGGATTAGTTTTCATTTAGTATTTGCTCTTTTTAAAATGTTGGGTTTATTTTGTTTTATATTGTTTGCTAGCGAAAGCCCTCCTCATCTCCTTGGTTTTAAATATAGCTCATAATAACTAAGCAAATAGAGGTGCCTTTGAACTGTTTAGTGAATAAAAACGTAGCTTTTGTATGATTATATTTTACTAGTGGGTTTCTATATCTGACAGAACTAGAACATTAACTAACCATTAATATTCTGATAGTAATTCATTTAGGCAGCAGTACCCTTAGCAGGTCTGGCTGGATGCTCGTAACCTGGTGCTTCCCCCCAGCCCCCCTAATCTATTGTTAAGAGATATGAGACAAAGCTTACACAATCTGTTTCATAGGTTTTGCTCGGATATTTCACACAGAATTGTATAAATGTGGAATATTGTGCAATTTCTGTATATGTATTTCTTTTTCTTACAGGTTTGTGTATTAGACCTACGGAAATAGCGCTACTAGTTGGAAGCCATGGACCGACTATGAATGTGTACATAGCCAAAATGACTGTCCCTGACCCATGTACTGCTATAGTCCCAATTGAACCATGGCCAGTCCACTACAGCCAAACATAAAAGAAATATATACATATACTGTATATAAAAAAAAGAGGAAAAAAAATTACACCCTGAAGAGGATGACAGAGTTTTGTCACAGCTTGTGAATCCTGTTCACCAAGTGCTGGAATCTGCTGTGCCCCAAAATAATATTTAAAAGTTTTGGATATGAAAAACAGAAGAGAGAGAGAGAGAGAGAGAGAGAAATATACCATATACGAGAGCAGACCCATATACATACCAAATTCAGAAGATACTAATGGCAGCCTTCATTACCCCTTCCCCCTTGAAATCCATTGCGACGATGGATTGTGGGGTATTTTTGTTTTCCTTCTCAGTAGTTGAGCAGTTTGTGTGTACAGAGAAAATGGACTTCCAGAAATCTGCAGCAGTAGTTTTTTCTTTGCTTTTAAACATTGGGTTTTCTGTTTTGTTTTGGTTAAGTTTACGGATGCATGAAGTAAGGGAGTGAATTAGTTTCTTGTCTATATTTTTCTCACCTTGGAAAAAAATGTTTCTTTGAAACATATTTTAATGCATTCTTTGAAGAGGTAGATGGAACCTGATAATGTTTGGTACATTTTGTGGCTCCTAGAGCACAATTTTGTGAACAGAGAGAGGGTGGATAAAGGGATTATGGAGAGAGAAGAAAAGAAAAAAAAAAAAAATCCTTCTTTGAGGCGTGATATTTCATGTTCTGCTCATCCACGAAGTATGACAGTAATGGGTATAATGCAATGTTTTATTTTCTGGTGACATGGCTAAAATGCAGTAGTTTCTTATTTGGGACATAATTCTGCCAAACTTAAGAATAGAAGGGCACAAAAATACCGAAAAGAAAAATACAGGGATGCAAAAAAAAAAAAAAAGAAAAAGAAAAAAAGAAAAAAAAAAAAAAGAGGAAAAAATGCATCTTCTGTTGCTTTAAGACCATAACTAAAATATGGTTCAATTGTGCACTATTGTGAAAAGGAGCAAAGTATAGCTGGGGGATCGTTTTTAAGAGGTTAAGATCTTTCTGGACAAGGGTTCATGCCACAGCTTCTCTGAGAGTTGCCCATCATTATTTGTAGGAGCTTAGATGTATAATTGTAACCAAACTCCAGTATTAAAAGTATCTCATGTAATTTTTCTTTATTAAAATAAAATCTTTGGCATATATTTGATAACACTGCCATTAAGAGGCAAAATGTTTACTACCTTAGATTTAAAAAAATCTTAAACAGAGGACTTGCTTCAAGTTTATTTTAATAGCAGTGATTCAGCTTATTTAAAAGATGAATACTTGCACTAATTCCCCTGCTGCTCCAGTCCTGCAGTTTATTGTATCTTGTGACTACATTTTTTCCAAATATAGGGTAGATGTAAGCTGCTATTTTTTTAATAATCACTACTATATAGTGTCTTTTACTCTGTTTACAATATCAAGTATTTTTCTTACAATGACAGATGTATATGGCAAACCTTTTTCTGCTCATGTGATTAAAAGTATACTGATAGTGATTTTATTTGTAAATGATAGCATGAGGTTGTGTTTATGCGTATGTGTAGTCAAAAAGGTTGCATCATGTCTTGCATAAGATTCCAAAAGTGTAAATTTTTAAAAAGAGAGGTTGTCAAATTTATGTCACAGGCATTTTACTTAAGTAATGGTTTATATTACAGAGCTTTGCAAAGTTACCAGTTTTATAACACTATTTCAATCACAGATTATTTTGTGGCTTATGATTGCTGGTCTCTAACCTATTTTTTTTTTCCATTTTGTTATTTTTTTCCCCCTCCGAGTTAGGTTTAAATTGATATAATTGAGATAATGCAGCTTTGACATTTTAACCATTGTTCTTTAGGCATCAATTTCTGCTGTTTCCATGGAATATACATGACTTGAAGCAAGTCTGAGTTTGGCTAAGGTAGGGTAGCAATTTGCCAGTGGTAAAGAGAAGTCAACAATACGTCCTTTATATATACCCCAGGAATATAATACTATCATACACAGCGTTTAAAACAAACAAAAAGTCATATCGATAAAGACAGTCATCCGCGGTGGTTTGGTGCCAGCTATTTTTAGGGTTTTGGAACATATTACAAATGTTTAGAGCAATTACCCTGTGAGTAACAATATGTAGGAAACCTAACATATTGAGTGTCTGGCACTTGAAATATTGCTTTTATTGCTGGAGGTCCATGACTGTGGCTGACCTCTGTCATTTAATGAAAAAAAGAAACAAAAAAAAAAAACCCAAAAAAACCCAACAACAACAAAAAAAAAAAAAAAAAAAAAAAAAAAAAAAAAAAAAAAAAAAAAAAAAATTTTGGGCAAAAAAAAAAAAAAAAAAAAAAAAAAAAAAAAACACACAAAAACAAAAATAAAAAAAAATTCTGTGCAATAATTTTAAACTGTGCTCCCAGGAATAGACACAAATGTTTTGAGTATGTTTAAGCTGCATTTTTCGTTTAGCAATGCATTTGTCAATTGCACTGAATTTAAATCTGAAAGTCAGAAGTGATTCTTGATAGTACTTTTGTATTTTAATATGGACAGTTTATTCATTTTCATAAAAGTTATTGGATGATTCTTTCAGCCAATCTAAACAATTGTGGTGGAGTTCTGTGACATAGCTGCAAAACCACACAGCCATGTTTTAGGGTATTGCCGTTTTCCTCTTTCTCAATCATCAGCTGTTTCGGTTGTAATTCTGGTTGCTTAAGCATAGTATCACGTATTCAGAAATAGATAAAACAGAGCTTCGGTGTCCCGGGTCCAGGGTTTTCAGGTGCCTGAAGCACAGTCTAGCAGGAACGTCAGATCTGATGACTTGAGCGCTCTGGACGCGCAGGCTGAGACCCCCCAACCTCGTGTCAACCGGCAGCGCCCCACTGTAGTGGAATGATGCCAGTTTCCACCAGCAAAGGATCTGGCCAGTAGATACTTTATTGTTGTCCTTCACTAGCATGCCACAGTGCTGCTCCTGCTCACGCCCCTTCTCGCCTCTCGTTCTATACACTGCTAAGCGCATGCATGCGCTGTGTGCTAGGCTCTGTGACTCTGTGAAGCAAAAAGAAGAGAACCATGACATTAATTATTATTTCGTACAGCACAACGACCTCGTGTGCAATAGTGAGGTAGACTATCCAAATTGTTCCTTTAAATTGAGTATGCCAAATGTCGGTAAGACCCTAACCTTGTATAAGTGTATGCAGATGCTTAGTCTTACGTACTGAGTAATTCTGTTGCGCCTGTTCTCCAAGTGTGAAGGCAAACGTGTGCGTAAGCCTTTGCGTACATTACGGTTCCTGTGTTTTCCAGCTCAACATGTTAATGGGCAAATATCCAAATAGAGGATAAAAGGAAAGGGAAGAACTGGGCTCAGAATTAATGATGGAATAAGAAATTAACTGCTCTTCATGTTCACTGTCTTTCTATGCATCCATCTCAGAATCCCGTTTCTCGTTTCTGCATAATTAGGTCCAGGTTTCTGTAGAGTTCCTCTTTTTCTATTTTTACTTTACCTTTTTCTGCATTTTTAAATTGATGTAAAGATTCCCAACCAGTGGACTTTTTAGTGTAGTTAAGAGAATATCTAGGTCCTCATAAAAGCTTTTTTAGACTCTTTGTAATGTTGATAAACTCGGTTTATTCTGGGACTACAATTGTGCAGGGTTATTTAGCGTGTCTACTAGATGATTGGAAATCTTATATGAAACACTAAAAGTGCCTCTTTTTCTGGGTTGGGTGGAGGGAGGTAATAGTTACCAGAGTCAGAATGACATGGCATTTTGAAGCATGTTTCTTGATTTTGTGACACTTTAATGCATCTTGAGAGAAAGGCCAAAGATTTCTACCAGTTTTAATTAATTTTCATTTAAAAAAGCACTCCTTTTTCCTTACACTGCTTACCTCATGCTAGGGTATTTAATGGGACGTTGTACCTTGGAAATGTTCTTTGTGTTTAGGAAGAACGGTAGGTGGGAGAGGGCCGTTGTGCCAGTTTGCCTACGGAGCAATCGTGGCGGCTGACGCGTTTAGTTCTGCTGAATGAAGGAATTTCACGAAAATCGCAAACTGGGCTTTTCAGCTTGTAAATAAAAGGTTGTATGTTTTTGTCTGTTTAGCAAAGAGGAGCCTTGGGACCCGATTTTTTCCAATCTTTGCTTAACCAGAAATCCCGTTGTCTTTCACTTCATGAGAAAACCTTGCCAGAATAAGCATGGGAGGCGTTGGATCTGTAGGTAAGAGGAGCCACATCTCGCTCGAGCCGGGATTCCCCTCGGCTTCGGTGGGGATCTTGCCAGAGCAGGGCCTGCCGGGTTTAGCCCAGTGTTCCCCTCTCGTTGACAAGCGTGATAGCTTCTCCCTTCACAAAGCCCCGTAGAGCCGTTCCCCCGTGGGATCAGTTTCACACTCTCCAGAAGTCTGAAGAAAGCAGAAGCAACATTGTGGCATGTTAGAAGCAAATAAGGCTTCGGGAGACAGCAGTAAATCTCCATCAAGATCCCTGACGTTTTCCGTAGGGAGAGAGCCGTGGAGCAGTCTTCACTTCTCCCTCTGGAGAAGCGCGTTCTGTGGAAGTGTGGCTGTCTTCACTGCCAGTCTGATGGAAGGCAGACGAACCAGGAAAATCTGCCCTTTCTTGCGGGTTGCAGATTTAGTGTTAATAGTGCTTCAGATCAGCAGTTTTGAGTACATAATTCGCTTTCTCTGCCTTTAAGTTTGAAGCTTGACAATAACTTGAGGCATGTTTTTGTTTTGTTTTCTTTTTTAAATAATCATTCATTTTTACTTCATAATGTTTTTTGACATTTGTGGGTAAATACGAGAAAACAGTCTGCATGTTGTTGCTAGTCCAGTGTACTTTGCAATCTCGTCCTCAACAGACTGCAGTGTGCAGAACAGTAATTCTAGAATACAGAAGTAATTTTCTCTCTCTCCTGACGTTGACATTGTAGTTGTAATGGTTTCATTTGGAGTTACAAATCCTTTGGGTCTAATTCTGTGAGCCTACCTATAGCACTGGATTAAAATGTCTGCATCATTTCTTCAGTTATCCAGTTAAATTACAACTGTTGTAAAAGTGTAAACCAGCCCATGACAGTTTTTTGTACTTGTTTAAAGGACTTTTATTGTTCAGTTTTCATGATTATTGTCTAAAGAAGACTGATATAGATGTTCTATACTGTCCTGGACCATGTTAATTACACTTTATGATGTATTTTGGTTCTACATCACAATGATTTGTCCCCAAGGCCCTTATATCCCTTCTAGGCACATTTTCTGTTGCAGTTTCCCTTTGCATTGTATTGCTTTGACAACTGTAATTTGAATCAGATCTGAAAGAGGTCCAGAATAAAATATATTTTGATATTACTTCGGCTGAATGTTATATACCAGTAATTTTCAATGCTTGGCACAGCAGATTTACAGATGATTAAGTGGGGAAGTGTTTGACCGAAACGCTATTTTTGATATTTAGGTTGGCACATTTTCAGGTGAGACTATGTAAGAAGCGGTGGGAGGAGATGCATGGTACAGCTGCATCCTCTTCATGAACACGCAGTAGGTCCTCTGAAACGGTGAAGCTGTCCCCTGCCACCATTTACCGCTGCACGTTTGGTTTGGACGAACCGATGTCTCACGGGTGCGTTTTGCGTGCTGCTGCTTCTCCTTCCCCACACGCTTGGGAAGAGAAGCTGAGCCTGGCGACGCTCGGCTACACCCCAGCTCTTCGGAAGGCTTTGGAGGCGTGGGAGTGGGCTCCGCTCCGGTAATGCAAGCTCACGTCGGAGAGATCCGATCTTACGGAGTGATTCAATCTGATTATGCAAAGGAACGATATTTGTGTTACTGTACTTCAGATATTTGAAATCATTTAGGCTTACACATGAAATAATATGCATCCATCTATACACAATGATGTTTTAATTCCTTTAGATTTGTGGGTCATGTCATAATCTAAGAGAGGGAACTTGGATGGTTTAATTTTCAATGTCGCTAGAACTTTATGGTGAAATTACTGCTTTTTCATGTAGACTATTTATTTGCTATAACGTGTTCAAAAGTAGTAGCTTTCTTATTTCAGTAATGTTATCAAAATCAATTTATTTTAATATATTGAAGCTTGCTGTTGAAAAGCATACAAAATGGATTGAAAAGGGAGGAGGCACTGTATTTTACAAGCATAAAGCCAGTCATGGATTCCCTTCACCTGGAGTCTGAGTGCGCTTCAGGATTCCTCTGTAGTTGCTTCAATATTGCGCTCTCAAAATTCAAACAATTTAATGGTTTTGAGACAGACCGTTTGTAGTAACGAATGTCACTCTACAGAGACTTGGTATGTCTTGGAATTTCATTAGCGCAAATGGTCCCCTCCAGAGTATGGCCACCCTGAGATGCAGGAACCGCAGGGAGGGGTCGCGGTGTGTAGGTGTTACGCTTGCATGGTAGTGGTGGCCACCTCTGCTCTGTGAGGAGGAGACAGTATTCCAGGCGAGTGCGTTATGCCATTACTGCCCGAATCG